ATGATAAAACTTTGCTAGACTGGAAAATATTGCAAAATCACACAATGACAAAAGTTATCTCCAGGAAGCTATAGTAAAAAAAAGTATGTTGTAGTAATGTTTTTCTGTTCTGTTTTGTTTTTTTTAATTTGTTTTTTTTAACCGCTTCCCGATTGCCCTATAGCAGAAGTACTGCTATGGGGCAGCAGGGCTGCGCAAAAGTATTGTATATCTCCAGGAAGCTATAGTAAAAAAGTACTGTATGTTGTAGTAATCATGTTTTTGTTCTGTTTGTTTTTTTTAAAAGCTTCCTCACCACCCTATAGCAGAAGTACTGTTATGGGGCGGCAGGACTGCGCAAAATTATGTATATATACGTGATTTTGTATTTCTGGGTAGGGGGCGCTCCAACCAGGCCATACCACTAACGCATTTCACTCCACCCTGTAGCCTCAGGGTTGGAGTGAAACACGTTGGGGGTATGGCCACGTTGGAGCCCTGAGCTGAGGCCGTCATACACTTCCTCACAGGGTTTTGCTGTGATGTGTATGACTTCTAGGATTCCCTTTCCCCACTGGATGTTTTGAGCTCTGTCCTTGTCAGCACTCCCAGCAGTTTGTCATGCAAGAGGACCCGATGGAGCCTTGAGCGGCACCTTTTTTTTTGTAACATATGTAACATCACAACTGCACTGTGGGGACAAATTATTATCATTTGTATGTTTTTTATAGAACAGGGGTTTGCACCAAACACTAAATTCAAGTCTTTAAGGTCAGGGATACAATGAAGCAGCATAAAATCATCCAAAAAGCCGAAAAGTCACTGCAGCCAATTAGATGCCTCTGTTTGGGTATTCTGACAATGGCAGAGGTTTTAAAAATGAGTTTTTTTTCCAAATGTATAAAAGGTGTTACAGCCAACATGTTTCAGGCACCATACAACATCTCCTTCCTCGGGATGTATCATAAGTACTTGGCACTATTCATCAGCTAATGTACAATGTTCCATCAGCTGCTGTACATTGCCAAGTGCTCACAATACACCCTGATGAAGGGGAATAGCAAAAAACTAATTAGTGTGATTGGAGGCCACTTGGCTGCCAACATGCCAGAAATAGTCAATCCAATAAATGTGTCATGGGTGTATAGGACTTTCACGGCACCAGATATAATTCAAACACCAAAAAATGATATAAAAACAGTTTATTGAGTTGCTTTATTCTTGTAAAACCAGGTATATTTATACAAATATGTAGTATGGGGTACCCCTGAGGATGTGCATGAGCATGAAACGCGTCAGTGGAGCCACATTGCTGACGTCACGTGGCCGCTGCAGAAGGACAGAGTGGCGGCCGTTTTTGGATACCTGTCATTTTCACCTTTGTCACTCCACAGGGATTTTTTAACCCTGCTTTATGAATTCAATAAATTACTACACTGTATACAAATTTCTGGCTCTTGTGGTTGAGCTATCTTCCCTAGGACAAGGGTTCCTCATTCCACCTATGCCTTTGATGGAGCAGTACGATTAACCCCCTGGCTGCCTCTTCACCTCCAGATGTGATATATCGTTTTCTTATGGAATTTCCCCCTGTTATCTGATTTACTACGCTGTTTCTGATCTAAACCGCTTTTGAGGGACACTTTTTGGACGCCATGGACACAGTTTCCAGGCAGAAAGAACAGTCCAGGGCGCAGACAAAGTAGGGACAATATGTATGTGAAATAGGTTGAAACAGCAATGTTTTACTGTGTAAAATGTAAAAAAAAAAAAATGACATTTTTTAAAATTATTAAATCGTCCTGACGTCACAGGGACAGGACACAGAAGCCGGATGCCGGCATCGGCCAGAGGAGATGGCCGGGGACGCTGCAGGGGACACATCACAGGGTAAGGTAAGTGAAGAACACATGCCGGAGCATATGGTAAGCCCGAGTGTAGCTCGGGGGGGTTACCGCTTTTGGTAATGAAATGTTACCCCGAGCTACACTCGGAAATACTGCAGGGAGGTTAATATAAGAACATTATTTGAACGCAGTTGTTTGATGGACTTTTGATTACATTATTGCACAAATCAATTAAGTGCAACCGTGAATATCATTTATAATACTATTGATCAATTTTATTGCACTTTAGTGCACTTATTATCACATTTACTCACAGACTTTATTTTCCTACCGTTTACTGATTTCCTTTTCTTTATATATTCGCAAGTTTTATATATATCTATATGTTGCACTTTATTGTTCCACTTGATACATTTACTTTGTGTTTTTAGCGCTGCACCCTTTTATACATATACTTGTAGGTATATTTATACCCATGAGGAAGAGTGATATTTGAAATGTGTCTGAAAGCCTTTACATCAAGACTGTTACACTTGAACCTATGAGAGCTACATATGGAGCTCTATTCCACTATTGTCTAAAACTATAGTATATGTTTTGAAATATGATTTTTTTTGTTCTGTAATAAAGATGTAATAAACAGTTTTTCTATCGTTTTTGGTGTTTAAATTATATCTGGAAAAAATATATATAATGGCGCCTATGGAAAGAGGAAAAATTATATATAAATCACTTATGATATACCAGCTGCAAAAATCCACCATAAATAAATAAAGTGTAACAATTATTACAAAAAATATATTTTGCGCTAGTAAATATAAAAATATATCCATGATACAAAAAAATATATAAATAATATTTAAATGAAAAAAAGTTCAAAATAGTCCACACTTAAAAAAATATATGTAACACAAAAACTGTGCACAAAAATATCTAAATGTGATAATACCACCACCAAAAAACGCTGAATAAACTCACCAGAGCTATAAAACAAAAACATATATTGCTCTGGGAGCGATAGTATTAATAGAGTGGTCAGTCATTCGTAGATGTATCTTCAAGAAAATGATATTCTGCAGAACCCAGATCCACATAGACCAATTTCAGATGGAGCAAATACTTTCAAATTATCATAAAGGAAATCCACTTCTCCAAAAAAGCCACCCTTAATCGTATCCAAGGAAGAAGATGCCAGACACTCGGAGGAAACAAAAGAACTTCATAGTGCAGTATTATTAAAAACCAACTTCCTTTATTAGGTACTCATTGCACTTAACTCAGGAGGTGTCCCAGCCGACACCAGCGTCAACAGCATACAGCAATCACAGAAAACGGACCCAGCTTCTCAGCACATGCGCAGTAGCTCGTAGGAAAACGTAATGACGTCACATCAATCAAGCGTGGTGCTGGCAGTGTAGCGTCAAACCAGCTGTAGCTTCAAGCTACTAGGGTCAAGCTACAGCTGGTTTGACGCAACACCGCCGGCACCACGAGGGATCCCGGCGGCAACTTTGAATCGGGTCTGTACTTAATTCTACTTCTTGTTATGCCTACTTGCCTATATGTGGGAATAAACATTCGAAAACGTATTGCACTACTGGCCTCCTCTGTTTTTTTTCTGAGCTCCTGAGAGAGCCAGCTACATCCACAGAGTGGTTATCTCTAAATGGGAATGCTGAGTGCAAACCGTGGGGCAGTGAAGGAGGCATGACCAGATCTGACCAGACCTATGAGGAGATATCTGATGTCCTTGTCATATTACACAAATGCGCTTAAAGGTTGCGTATCTGGTGAGTGCGCAGTCTATATCCTAATTGTCTCACCTTATCCACAATTTGTGTCATTTGGACATCGGAAGATCGTCTGAGATCTCGCTCACATCTTCACTTTGGACTTATTCTTTGATATAGTGCTTTTCTCACGTTATATTGGCCACATATCTCAGTGGCATATATATAACTGCACAGTATCACTTTATATTTATATATGTATGTATATGCATTTATCCACTCATTTGTTTATTAATTTATTAGTGCTGCACCCTCTTCTATGTTACTGCTTATCTGGAGGTCTTATATGGTGCCTTTGGTGTACAGCTGCTGTCATTGATGACAAATATATTATTATTGGAAGCGCTCACTTATTTATATGTTTTTAGTACTCTAACACTTTGTTGTGGCCTTTAGAAGTGATATTTAAGTCTGAAAATCGAAGCTCCACACCAAAGTGTTGGAGGATTTATTCCCAGCCGTATAATATGTGGTACAGCTAATGTGTTTCAGGGACCACACAATGTCCCCTTCATCAAGGTGTATTGTGAGCACTTGGCAATGTTCAGCAGCTGATGAAAAATTCCAAATATCAGCTGCTGAGCATTGCGCAGCACTCACAATGCACCCCAAGGAAGGAGATGGTGTGTGTTCCCTGAAACACGTTGGCTGTAACATCTAATTTACATTTGGAGTAAAACCTAATATTTTGAATATTGTATTCTGACAGCTATTTCTTTCACTGATGGAGCATTGTACAACATCAGCTGCTGGACATTGCCCAGTGCTCACAATACACCGACGAAGGGGACGTTGTGTGGTTGCTGAAACATGTCAGCTGCGGCACCTATTACACATTTGTAATAAAACCTCATTTTGGACTCTAACACTTTGGTGCGGTGCTTCAATTTCTTCGATTTTCAAATTTAAAAATTACTTTTATAGTTCAAGGTTACTGTCCCAGTTCCTTGGTTCGGCCGAACTGAGAGCAGCCCACTCATCACTTAGTCGCCCCATTGGGATGACATTTTTGTCAACAGTACTAAAGTATATCTACTTAAGGCTCCAGTGCCATAAATCTGTCACTTCAACAATGCAATATTCGGCAGAGGAGATTCCTTTATCCAATCTATTGATTTCTCTTCTGTTCAACCCACAGAGCTGCACAACAGAAATCCTAATGTGAATGGCTAGAATAAGTATAGCAGAAACATTTACATATTTATGAATTGTTGGCCGACAATTCAAACTAGCCAAAAATGGCAGATGTCCTTTATACTCTTATAATGAATAAAAATTTAAATGGACTCTCAACCATGTGTCTGGTGCTCTCCTCACCGTAAAAAAAAAATTACTACTGGCAATTTCATTAGATTAAATCTGAACTGCAGGCACAAAATGTTACATTTACATTATATTGTCAAAAGAATTGGGACAGCCCTCCAAAACATGTGATTCAGGTGTTCCAATCACCTGCATGGCCACAGGTGTATAAAATCATCACCTAGGCATGCAGACTGCTTCTACAAATATTTTTGAAAGAATGGGTCATTCTCAGGAGCTCAGTGACTCCAAGCGTGGTCCCGTGATAGGTTGCCACCTGTGCAATAAGTCCATCCGTGACATTTCCTGGCTACTAAATATTCCACGGTCAACTGTTAGTGGTATTATAACAAAGTGGAAGAAACTGGGAACAACAGCAACTCAGCCACCAAGTGGTAGGCCACGTCACATGACAGAGTGGGGTCAGCGCATGCTGAAGCGCACAGTGCGCAGAAGTCAACAACCGTCTGCAGAGTCAATAGCTAAAGACCTCCAACCTTCATGTGGCCTTCAGATTAGCACAACAACAGTGTGTAGAGAGCTTCATGGAATGGGTTTCCATGGCCGAGCAGCTGCATCCAAGCCTTACATCACCAAGTGCAATGCAAAGCGTCAGATGCAGTGGCGTAAAGCACGCCGCCACTGGACTCTAGAGCAGTGGAAACATGTTTTCTGGTGTGACCAATCACGCTTCTCTGTCTGGCAATCCGATGGACGTGTCTGGGTTTGGCATTTACCAGGAGAACGTTACTTGCCTGACTGCATTGTGCCAAGTGTAAAGTTTGGTGGAGGGGGGGTTATGGTGTGGGGTTGTTTTTCAGGGGTTGGGCTTGGCCCCCTAGTTCCAGTGAAAGGAACTCTTAAGGCAGGGGTGTCTAACTGGCGGTCCTCCAGCTGTTACGAAACTACAAGTCTCATCATGCCTCTACCTTCGGGAGTCATGCTTCTAACTGTCAATCTTGCAATGCCTCATGGGACTTGTAGTTTGGCAACAGCTGGAGAGCCACCCGTTTGACACCTGTGTCTTAAGGCATCAGCATACCAAGACATGGTGGACAATTTCATGCTCCCAACTTTGTGAGAACAGTTTGGGGATGGCCCCTTCCTGTTCCAACATGACTGCACACCAGTGCACAAAGCAAGGTCCATAAAGACATGGATGCACAAATGAGGTTTAAACAGTCAGTAAGGAGGTAACACTGCCTCTGTAAGGGAGCATAGAAAACAATGGCTCTTCTATGTTTGTTGTTCGCACTGTAACACATATTAACATATATAAATGCAAGGCAACATGCAGAAACATGCAAGCTAATGCACATTATTGAACATGCATCTTCAGTGCATTGTAATGTTAAAGGACCCTATATATTCACCTGACTGAAAAAAGGATAGCAAAATGTAAAATGATACTTTTTTCCCCCTGGGAGGGGGTTTGGTGTGGATGGTGGTCCCCAGGCCCATGATTCCAGTCTGGGATTAATCTTTTATTTTAGTCTAAGGTATTTGTAGAAATATGAGAAATATGTGTAAAATATATATATATATATATATATATATATATATATATATATATATATATATATAATCTACTTAGACATTTTTCAACATGTATTCTGACTGTATATTATAGTTTCACAGAACCTGAGGAGGTGGGGGTGGATACCCATGAAACTAATCGTAATTATTGTCCTTGAGTGGACCCTAATTTCAAATTGGAAGTCTCAATGTTGAATGGAGGGGAATACATACAGTGGGGCAAAAAAGTATTTAGTTAGCCACCAATTGTGCAAGTTCTCCCACTTAAAAAGATGAGAGAGGCCTGTAATTGGCATCATAGGTAGACTTCAACTATGAGAGACAAAATGAGAAATAAAACCCAGACAATCACATTGGCTGATTTGGAAAGAATTTATTTGCAAATTATGGTGGAAAATAAGTATTTGGTCAATATCAAAAGTTCATCTCAATACTTTGTTATATATCCTTTGTTGGCAATGACAGAGGTCAAACGTTTCCTGTAAGTCTTCACAAGGTTGGCACACACTGTTGCTGGTATGTTGGCCCATTCCTCCATGCAGATCTCCTCTAGAGCAGTGATGTTTTGGGGCTGTCGCTGGGCAACACGGACTTTCAGACTTTCCTGTACATGGATCAGTCATCCTGGTCCCTTTGCGGAGAAACAGCCCCAAAGCATGATGTTGCCACCCCCATGCTTCACAGTAGGTATGGTGTTTTTGCCCCACTGTAGCAACTGACTGTGAAACACATGGAAATAAGTTTTATGTATCCATATTATGTAATATACCTGCAAAATGTATGGTACTAAGTTCACATTGCACTTGTTTTAACTTTTAGATTTTTACAATGTTCGGCACCTTTGGGCTCCATGCACACTAGCTTAGAAACACACTCCTAGCAGCAGAGTTTAGAGGGGTTTTTTTGCCTCTAGAAGCAAACCTTGCTATTCTGTGTCCATGCACACTTTGTAGTCTAGAGGCGTTTTTTAAGCTCAGTGTTTAGGAGCAGAAAAAAAAACCTCTGGTTTGCATTTTTTTACAGCGATTTTCTGGCAGAGAACAACTAACCGCTCCTACAGGCTCCTAACCGCTGCTAAGAGCCAGTAAAAAGCAGGTTGTTAAGAAGTCGGTGGCCATCGCGTCCTTAACAACCAATGATTCATCAGCTGTCAGAGGGATTCTCTGCTGACAGCTGAATGTAAAATAAGAATGCAGTTATTGGAAAGAAAACTGCATGGGGTCCCACCCCAATCCCTACCAGGGCCTTCAGGTCTGGCACAGATTTTAAGGGGAACCCTATGCCAACTTTTTTTTTTGTTAGTGGCTTGGGGTCCCCCCCAAAATCCATACCAGACCCTTATCCAAGCATGCAGCTTGGCAGGCCAGGAAAAGGGGGAGACGAGTGAGCGCCTCCCCCCTCCTGAACCATACCATACCAAGCCAGATGCCCTCAACATGGAGGGGCTGCTTTGGGGCAGGGGGGCTGATGGGGACAAGGGCCCCTTCCCTACAACCCTGTGCGGTGGTTGTGGGGGTCTACAGGCTGGGGACTTATCTGAATCTGGAAGTCCCCTTTTAATTAGGTAATCCCTCCCCCTTATGATGTTATCCACAGGGAATGCTCAATCAAAAGCTACACAAAGGGACGGGGTGACATCACTGTGTGGCCCCGCCCCCTTAATTTATTTAGTGGCAGATACAAAGCAGAGCTGGCAGACAGCGGGTACTAGATTCAGGTGCGGATGTGGGTCAGCGTTCATTGTGATTGATGATGGATCTACACCAGGGGACAACTTTTTTTTTTTTTTTTTTTTTAAGGCGTTGTGAAAAACTGTCTCTTGCCTTTATTTACACTACTCCTTTATTTTGTGTGAAGGAGTAGGGGTACTATGTACCTCATACTCATTCACATGGGGGGGGGCGGTATCTGGGGTCCCCCTTGTTAAAAGGGACTGATAACCCCCCACCTGTAGACCCTTGTCCCTATCAACACAGGGAAAAGGTGCTTTGAGGGGGCTTACTTGTTCCCCCTCCTTTCCTGGCCTGCCAGGCTGCATTCTAGGATAAGTGTCTGTTATGGACTCCATGGCTTTTTTTTTTTTTGGGCAGTGGGTCCCCCTCAAAATCCATACTAGACCTAAGGGTCTGATAGGGATTTTGGGGGGGGACCCAAAGCCTTTTTGTTTTTAATTTTTGGAGTGGGGTTTCCCTTAAAATCCATACCAGACCCAAAGGGCCTGGTATGGATTGAGGTGAGACCCCCATATGGTTTAATTTACATTTTGTATTTTAATTTTTGGTTTACATTCAGCTGTCAGAAACTTCGGCAAAATAATATCAGCAGTTTTTATCCAGCATATCTCTGTCATTTTTAAAGCTTCTAGTGTATATGGAGTCCCATAACTAGAAGAAACTGCATTTGTATCTATTGATCCTAGAGATGTTGGTGCCTAGCCACACAATCCTGGCATCAGATGTATATAGGATTTGCTCTTGAGTATGGGTGACAGTACTTAGTACATTATCCTTCATGCTTTTTTTGGCTGTCCTAATTAAAAAGCCATTGTAACATTTAGAGCAAAGCTGATTATTCTGAAAAGTCCAATTTATTCTTAAAAGCTACAATCGTTTTTTTTAAAGAGATAATAGGAAATCCAATTCATATGTTCTGGTAGGTTGTCCGTTTGACACAATGAGGACTGTATAATGAAAAACATTTTTCAAATTCATGCCCTTTGGTGGCCTGCCAACTCGTTCAAGAAAATGCTGTTCACCACTTTCAAAGCTAACCTTTTACTAAGCCACTATGCTAGCCATGTATCAAGTTCCAATTATTTCTGATCAAAACTATCCTGTATCACGGGCTGGATTTCAGTTGTTTGCACCCCTTGGCCAAGTTCAAGGTGACTTTCCTATGAACAAACAGCTTTGACGGTTCCTAACAATTTTATAAGGTAAATACATTTTGTAATACATATTATTAAAATCAGATTGATTTCTGTTTGGATGCTTTACAGGTTATTTAAATGTGTTTAACGTAATTACACAAAGAACAGCCAGCTGCCCTCTAAAACGTCACCACCCTAGGCTGGATCATTCTGTGCTCCTGCTGGGCAAAGGCTTCTAATCATTTTGATGTGTCCTTGCTGTGAAGCATGAAAAACATGTTGAAAAACAGTATGTGACATATCATATAAAAACTGATCTGTGATCCGCAACAAGGTACATAGGTTACTGTGCTACTGACCATAAAATAACAAAAATTCTTATGACTGCCTATTCTTCAAGAAATCGCAAAACTTTCTACAAGTAACTTTCCTTCTTCTTCCTCACGTAGTTACATAGTTAGTCTGGCTGAAAAAAAGACAAAAGTCCATCCAGTCCAACCATTAAAAAAAAAAAAAGTTATAATCCTACACACACAGTTGATCCAGAGGAAGGCAAAAAAAAAAAAAACAACATCAAAGCATGACCCAAATTTGCTCCTGCAGAAAAAAAAATTCCTTCCTGATCCCCCAAGAGGCAATCGGATATTCCCTGGATCAACTTTACCTATAAATGTTAGTATCCAGTTATATTCTGTGTATCTAGGAAACAATCCAGGACTTTTTTGAAGCAATCCACTGAGCTGGCCAGAACCAACTCTTGAGGGAGTCTATTCCACATTTTCACAGCTCTCACTGTGAAGAAACCTTTCTGTGTTTGGAGATTAAATGTATTTTCCTCCAGATGTAAAGAGTGCCCCCTTGTCC